TTATTTTGAATTTTTCGACTACCACCCAAGTCTGCCCCAATAGTACACCATAAATAATTTAATTTGTATTGCGTGTTGTAAATAATTTGCTAAAAATGGTAAAAAAATAAGCTTCCTTAAAAGAAAGTGTATGAGGGGCTGGAGCGATAGCACAGCAGTAGATGTTTGCCTTGCACACAGCCAAACTGGGTTCAATTTCCAGCATCCCATATGGTCCCGCGAGCACTGCCAGGAGTAATGCCTGAGTGCATGAGCCAGGAGTAGCCCCTGTGCATCGCCGGGTGTGACCCTAAAAACCAAAAAATTAAATAAAAATAAAATAAAGGTTTTTTTTTAAAAAAAAAAAAAAAAGGAAGTGTGTGAACATTGTTGTATCTCACCCTGGAGTCATTTAAACTCTGGTATAAGAGATTCCTAACATAGAAAACTAGGTTTTCTAATTTCCGCTCTAATTCCAAAATAATTTTTAAATATAATCCATTACACTAAGTAGGCAAGGAATACAAAAGAAGAGTAAGACTTGTCCCTTATTTTCAAATAGCAAATATTTTTAAGATGGGCTGAGTTTTTTTAAAATTCAAATAAAAAGTTCAATCCCTGGCACCACATATGGTACTCTAAGCTTCTCCAAGAGTGATCTCTGAGCAACATCAGGTGTGACCCCAAAACAAAAACAAACAAAAAAGGAAACCAAAGATTAAAAGAGATATTAAAACAAAAGAACAGAAGCTGGCGTGATAGTATAACAGATAGGGCATTTGCCTTGACCCAGACTCAATCATTGGCATCCCATATGGTCCCCTGAGCATCCCCTATAGTGATTTCTGAGTGAGATCCATGAGGAATTCCTGAGCATTTCCAGGTGTAGCCCAAAAACAAGGAGGAGGAGGATGAAGGGAAGGGAAGGGGGTGGAGGGGGACAGGGAGGGGAGCAGAAAAGGGAGGAGGGTGGAGAGGAGGGAAGGAAGAGAAGGAGGAGGAAGAAGAGGAAGAAGAGGAGGAGGAGAAGAAGAACAACAACAATAACAACAGAGTCAAAGTATGAATCTCGCTCAGACTCTGATTCAAACAAAAGGAGCACCATACAACTTGAGATAATGGAACACACTAGCATTTGATGACTTTAAAATAATGAGAAAGTAAAGCTGTTATGTTTGATGATGGCATTAGGTTGCTCAAAACAGTGCTTATTCCTTATAGATACAACCTGAAATGTTTACTAGCAAATATAATGTCTAAATTTTACTTTAAAACAAGAGGGAGTGGGATTGGAGCTATAGTACAGAGGATAGGGCACTTGCCTTGAATGCAGCCAACTCAGGTTTGATCCCCAGCACCACATATGGTTCTCCAAGCTTGCCAGGAGTGACCCCTGAGCAGAGTCAGCAGTAAGCCCTGAGCACAGCCAGGTGTAGATTCCACACAAAATAACAGAAGGTTGAGGAGAGATGAGTAAACCAAACAAGGGTGATGCATTGAGCATAGATGAAATATATTGGCTATGACTGATAAGCATAGACGTGAAGCAATAAGTACAAAAGTTTCATTAGACTAGTCTCTACTTTGTTAACAAGCTTGAATGTTTCAACTGGCCTGAGCAATAAAACAGCAGGTAGGGTGCTTGTCTTGCCCATGGTCAACCCAGATTTGATCCCTGGCACCCCATATGGTCCCAAGCCCTTCTAGGAGTGATTCCTGAGTTCAGAGCCTGGAATACACCCTGAGTACTTCCAGGCATAGTCTCCCCAACTCCCCCCAAATGAGAAATTATGTCATAATAAACTATATGTTTTTTAAAAGACTGATGAAATGGGGTCAGAGTGACAATACAGCAAGTAGAGTGCTTGCCTTGTCATGGCCTATCCAGGTTTAATCTTAAGAATCCCATATGGTTCCCCAAGGCCCACTAGGAGTGATCCTTGAGTGCAGAACAAGAAGCAAGCCCTCTGGTTGTTGCACGTGGCCCGAAAAGCAAAAAAAAGGAAAAAAACAACAAAACACACTGCTGAACTGACACTACACACAAACCAAGATAGACGAGATATAAAATAAGAATCTTAATCTTAAAGGTGGACTAAGCAGAACATCACTGACCTTGATCTCTGATACACGAGCAAAACTATGGATGCCTATTTCCAAAAAATGATACATATAGTACCTACACAATACAATTTTACAATTTCAGGAGTTCATACATCTGAGAGACTGAGAGACATAGACTCTCAAATTAAAAAAAAAAAAGAGGGGCTGAGTGATAGCACAGCAGGTAGGGCATTTGTCTTGCACGCGGCCGACCCGGGTTCGATTCCCAGCATCCCATATGGTCCCCCGAGCACCGCCAGGAGTAATTCCTGAGTGCAGAGCCAGGAGTAACCCCTGAGCATTGCCAGGTATGACTCAAAAAGAAAAAAAAAAAAAGATAAAAGAATGGTGACTGTGGCACTATGAGGAGTAATACCCAAGCACATAATACTACTGGCTATGGCCCCAACAAAACTCAACCCTCATTCATGGTGAAGAAATAAGACACTTAAAAATAACTTCATGTGGGCTGGAGTGATAGCACAGCTGGTAGGGCGTTTGCCTTGCACGCGGCCGACCCAGGTTCGATTCCCAGCATCCCATATGGTCCCCCGAACACCGCCAGGAGTAATTCCTGAGTGTAAAGCCAGGAATAACCCCTGTGCATCGCCAGGTGTGACCCAAAAAAAGCAGGAAAAAAAAATAATAACTTCATGGGTCCACAGAGATAGTACAGCAGGTGAAGCACTCGCCGTGCATTAAGCCAATCCACATTCAATACCTGGTTCCCCCAAGAACCACCAGGAGTGATCCCTGAGCAAAGAACTAGGAGTAAGTCCTAAATTGTACTGGTTACTGAGATATAATAAGAGAAATATAGATATATTTCGTATGTAGATTCAGAATCATTTAGTATCCAGAGAAAGTTACGAATACAATTATAATGCAGCATGTTTTCCTTTTAATTAGTCAGAAATAATATAGAAATCTGCTTTGTATAGGTTCTTTAAGAGGTGGGGTGAGGTATGCCCAGGGGATACTTCTGGTTAAAAGCTTGAGGAACAATACAGTGCTTATAGGGAAGCAAATCTAAAGCCTGTTTTCCAGCCTTCTCCTCAGCCCCATATATAATTCAGATAATTTCTTTTACTGTATTTTACATCCTTCCCATTACCTAGCATTTAAAAATTTATTTAAAAAAACAAATCTCGGGGGCTGGAGCAATAGCACAGTGGGTAGGGCGTTTGCCTTGCATGTGGCCAACCCGGGTTCGGTTCCCAGCATCCCATATGGTCCCCTGAGCACCGCCAGGAGTAATTCCTGAGTGCATGAGCCAGGAATAACCCCTGTGCAATGCTGAGTGTGACCCAAAAAGAAAAAAAAAAAAAAAACCCAGATCTCAAGCTTCTACTCCAGAATATAGCCCAATTCAAACCCATACTGTCACTTTCGGAGTATATACCCAAAGCATATACCACGGAGTGATACCACAGTCACAGTCACGGTCCTCCCGTTGTTCATCAATTTGCTCGAGGGGGCCCAGTAACATTGTGAGACTTGTTACTGTGTTTGGCATATCGAATATGTCACGGGTAGCTTGCCAGGCTTTGCCGTGTGGGTGAGATACTCTCAGTAGCTTGCCGGGCTCTCCAAGAAGGGTGGAGGAATCGAACTTGGGTCAGCCATGTTGGCTGCTTGCAAGGCAAACGCCAATTATCTTTATGGAGACCATGGAAATGACAACCTTATTCGTAAGTCCTGACTATAACACAACAAAGTAATAAATTGCTGGAATATGATCTGAAGCTCAAAAACTAATTGCCAAAAAGGTATCTTACCTACAAGGGTTGAAATTATAAAGCTGTATCTTAGCAAACAGCATGTATCTTTTACAGAAACTATCAATTTCCAGTGAATTAGAATATAAGAGGCAGATGCCTAATGGTTAATGAAAACTGTCTCTTAAGCTATATTTCCTTACTTTGAATTCTAACTCAATGACCTATAAGCTACATGTTTTTTGAAAAATTACTGAACCAAGCTATTGCCTCAAATGAAGATTATTACTTAAGTAAAAGGATTTTGTTTTGTTTTGAAGATTAAAAAAGTTAAGGAGCACATAGTGAACCTGGTTCAATTCCTGCCACTGCATATGCCCCAACCCACCCCTCTGCAAAGCTCAGGAGTGAACCCTGAGCACAAAACCAGGAGTAATAAGCCCTAAGCAATAACAGATGTGGTCCAAACGCTGCCTCCTTACCCCACAAAAGAAAACAAAAAAATGATTAAAGGGTCAGGGGTATGGCTCAGTGGAATAATGCAGGCTTTGCAAAGATAAGACTGAGTTCAAGCTCGTGCACACACACACACACACACACACACACACTTTCCCACTCTCACTCTTTCCCTCTCCTTTCTTTTAATTTATCTGATATAGAGAGACTAAGATCAACTTTAAAAGGTTTCTAGTGAACCAAAATTATTGATAATCTAAGCTCTAGGTATCAGGGGAACACAATAAGCTATAAAAAATAATTTTCATATTGCAAATTTTCAAATTAGATCAACAACATATGAAAATATTCATGTTAAAAGTTAATTTTTAAGTTCTTTAGACAGGCTGATATAGCAAATTTCCTAAGGATTTTCCCTTAGATTTGCATTCCCCAATCCAGTAACCATAAGCCACATGAAACTTTTCACATTTAAATTAAAAACATGGAAAAAAAGAAAAAAGCTAAGTAAATTTGATTAATTCAGTAATTCAAAGTTTAGGGAACAAAAACAAAAGAGAAATTACTGAAAGGGAAACATTTTCAAAAGTAAAATTCAAAGGCAATAATTAAGAATTAATTATTTCAAATCTTCAGATAAAACTACTTACTAAACACAGTAAGGGTTACTAAAAATGCAAACATGGCTAGATGTATGGGAAATTCATTTTAATCCTACAAAATGTTAAATTCTAGAATTTTTACCTCTGTTCTAAGATCAGTTTTCTAAAGGAGGAGGTGGCACAGGAATGCAGCAGAATTCAAGTGTGGAATTCATTTGTTGAGATTTAAATATTTTCCAAGTCTATAAAAAATGAAAATAAAAAGCTGTGAAATATTAATATTGAAAAAGTAATACAGAGGAGAGAGAACAATTTCATCAGATACTTTATCTAACTGAAAAATATATAGTAGTTTATCTAACTGAAAAATATAAATATTCAAAAATATTTGTAATAACTGGCATATATATACTTATGTACCATCATTAAACTTAATTTAAGTTTAAAGACATCAGGTAAGAAGAAATAAAGATGTTATTTATCTTAAAATATGGTATTAATAATCTGTCAATCCTTGAGCAGATTATTTAAATCATCTGGAACTTCACCTGAACAAATAATAAAATTAAGTTATGAATCTAACTTTTGTAATATGTTACAGCACAGACACATGCAAATAATAATTAATTTTTAACATGCAGTATAAAACCAAGCATAAATAATAAGTATTAATGGCTATAATTTTAGATATTTCACAGAACTGAAAATTTTATCATTTTTAAGAAGAAAACAAAATGCTATTTAATTTATTGGCACAAAAGTAAACTAACAGTTCTTTTTCTAATCAATATAGTAATTTCTAAATAACGTATACTTTCCTATAAAATAACAACTATTTTCATGTAGTTGATGACCACTTTAGGCTCTATTTCTTTGATTCAAACTGATGGAAACATTAATGATCTCTGAATGGTTCAGTGAAGTTCAGAATCTTTTTTTCCACTCTGTTTAAATTATTTAGTATTTGTCAAGCTACTCTGTAGCAATTTGAATAACATCTTCCTCACCCACTCCAAATCCAACATCTAGAAGGATTTTCAAGCTCTAACTAGATTTTCAATGAATTTATCCAAGATGCTTAACACATGGCTTTGACCCCAGACCTTCAGAAAACTGAAAAAAATAAGAAAAATTCAGCTCCCTCTCCACTTATCTCTGAAGAATTAATATAGAACCTTAGTAACTCGACTTTCAATTCTAGTACTAAAGCCCTTTCCGAAATATCCATTTTAACCTCAAGACCAAGATAGAGCTTACAGTAATGACATGCACCCTACAAAGAGGAAAGATACAGTTGCCATTTATAGGCAAATTTCATGACTTAATTTTCCTAACAGCTGCATAGTATTTCATTGTGTAGATGTACCATAGTTTCTTTACTCATTCGTCTGTTCTTGGGCACTCAGGCTGTTTCCAGATATTGGCTATGGTGAATAGTTGCTGCAGTGAACATAGAGTGAAGGTGTTGTTTCTGCTGTATTTTTTTGGACGTCCAGGGTATTAAAAGTAGATAAAGGAATATTCTTGATAACTTTTCAGTATCATATTGCAAACCACAATAGCCAAAAGGGGAGGGATGGACGGTGAGTGCAGGAGGAAAGGGAGGGGTCTCAGAGAGAGACAGAGAGACAGAGAGAGTGAGAGAGAGAAGAAAAATGCCTGCTATAAAGCAGCCAGGAGGTAGGGGGTGATAGGAGGGAACCTGGAGACACTGGTGCTGGGAAATGTACACTGGTGGAGGGAACGGGTGTTGGAATATAGTATGACTGAAATCCATCCATGAACAGCTTTGTGCTTCAATAAAAAAGTTCACAGTGCTTCAATAAAAAAGGTCACAATGGGAAAGCAACACAGAAACGCACAATGCTCAGTGACCAAAGATGGTAGCCCTGATGACTAAACCAGTAATAATGACCTATATAATCTCTCTCATAAAGACTTTAGAGAGGAAATATTGAGGATGTTTAAGGAACTCAAAGAACAGACCACCAAACAAAAAAAAAAAAAAACAAGAGATATCGATATGAGAGCAGAAATGAGAAAATTACATACAGAAACGACAACTGAAAAACCTGGTAGGTGAAATTTTGTGGAGAAGGGGAGCACACCTTCCAGTGCTCAGGGGTTAATCCTGGCTCTGTGCTCAGGAAATATTACTGGCATGCTCGGGGGTTCATTTGTGGTGACAAAGATTGAACCTGAGTCATCTGCATGCAAGCAAACACCCTCCCCACTGTACTAACACTCAGGCCCCTGGTAGGTGAAATTTTAAAACTCACTGCAAGGCCTCACAAGCAGAGTAACAGCTGGTGAGAACAGAATCAGTGAGCTTCAACCTCCAGACAACAACCTCCAGACAAGAACCTCCAGACAATACAAGATGGGGAGGGAAAGCCTCAAAATAACAGCTGACAAGCGAACTTTGGGATGAATTCAAGAACAACCTAAGAATAAACAAGTCCCTGAGGATCAGGAAGGCAAACCTGATAAAGAAACAAAAGTTAAAGTTTATTGCTTTTTTTGGGGGGGGTCACACCCAGCGATGCACAAGGGTTACTCGTGGCTCAGGCACTCAGGAGTTACACCTGGAGGTGCTCAGGGGACCATATGGGATGCTGGGAATCGAACCCGGGTTGGCCGCGTGCAAGGCAAATGCCCTACCCACTGTGCCAAAGACATCATTGCTGAGAAGTTCCAAGAGCTGGAGAATGCATGCATGCAGACCTAGGAGGTCCAAAGGGTACCAGCTGAAAGAAACACAAATAAAAATACTCCAAGACACATCCTAATCAGAATGACATAAACCATAGAGATAGAATACTGAAAGTAGCAAGATCAAAGAAGCTTCTTAAGTGACACTTAAGGAATGTTCTTAAGATTTACAGCAGATTTATCAAACGAAACCCTCTGGGCCCACAGACAGAGGTGGGATATAGTGGAAAACATGAAATGAATGCCTCAGCAAGAATTCTTCTATCAAGCTAGACTCTCATTCTACTCAGGAACTTCATAGGCTCAAAACCATCTTCATAAGAACTAAAGAGTCTACTTTAAGACAAGGTGAGTCCCGCAAACACACCAAACTCTGCAGAAAGGTTTATGACAATAATCTCTCTCAATGTCATTGGGTTAAATATACCAATCAAGAGACACAGGGTGGAGAATGGACCAGAAAACTGAATCTAACATTACACTTCCTACAAAAAAAAATACATTTAAATAGAATAAAGACAGACTCAAGGGATGGAAGACAATTTTTCAAACAAACCCCCTCAAAAAGGCCAATCTGGCCATACTAGTATCAGATGATATAGACTTCAGGCTAAAAAAAGGTTATAAGAAACAGCAAAGGTCATTTCTTAGTGACCAAGGGATACGTACATCAGGAAGAACTCACACTCCTAAACTTATATGCACCTAATGAGGTAGCAGAAAAATATTTAGCTTTTAACAGATTTCGAGAAAGACACTGATAACAATGCAATAATAGGTAGAAACTTCAATAACACTGTCATTTCTTGACAGAATAACTAGACTAAAGCTCAGTGAGGAAATACTTTCTTTGAAGGAAAAAGTGGAAGAGAGAGGTTTAGTAAATAAACATGTAATTATACACACACACATATACAGGCAAATGTATGGCTTTTCATCCTCAAAAAACTGAATACACATTCTTCTCCAATGCACATGGGACACTCTAGGACAGATCACATGCTGGGCCACAAAACATACCTCCAAAAAATCAAGAGCAAAAAAATCATATCAATTATCTTTTCAGACCATGATTCACTGACAATGGAAGTTAATCACAAAAGAAATGAAGAAACAACTCAAATATCTGAAAATTAAATGGAACTGAAACTCAATCATAAACAACTTTGCAACTGTGTATTTTACAGTGGGCTGGAGCGATAGCACAGCAGTAGGGCATTTGCCTTGCACAAGACCGACTGGTCGACCCAGATGTGATTCCCCCAACCCTCTTGGAGAACGCAGCAAGCTACCAAGAGTATCTCGCCCGCACAGCAAAGCTTGGCAAGCTACCCATGATGTATTCGATATGCCAAACACAGTAACAATAAGTCTCACAATGGTGATGTTACTGGGCCCACTCGAGCAAATCAATGAACAACAAGAGGACAGATTTCACAGTGATTCAATAAACTTTTTAAGAATCCCCTAACTACCTTATTTCTTCCACCTTGTATTAAAATGTGTACAATATTGATCTGAATCTAAAGACAGTAAATATGCAATTTTCTACTAAAATATTCAAATCAGTTAAGTCAACTTCTCGATAAAATCTTTTTGGGGAGAAGCAGGGGAAGACTGGTGGTAGGAAGTGGGCACTGGTGAAGGAACTGGTGTTGAAACAATGTATGCCTGAAACCCAATCATGACTAATTTTATAATCTCAAAGTCACTTTTAAAAAATAAATTAAATACCCAAGAATAGCTGAGATCAGCACCAGGAGGATTACTCCATAACTTAGAGGCCAGCCGGGTATCCTAGAGGAAAGGGCAGTTCAGATAGAGAAGGGAGCACCAAATAAAGGATGTTTGGAGGATCCTCCCAGGAGGGGAGATGCATGTCGAAAGTAGACTATGGACTGAACATGTTTGCCACTCAATGCCTCTTTTGCAGACCACAACACCCAAACGGAGAGAGAGAACACAGGGGATTGTCCTGCCACAGAGGCAGGGGGGGATGGGGGGATGGGGGTGGGAGGGATATTATCCATGGTAGTGAAAAACGGGCACTGGTGGAGGGATGGGTATCTGATCATTGTATAATTGAAACCCAAGCACAAAAAAAATTGTAAATCTACAACTGTAAAAAAATAAATAAATAAATTTTAAAAAAAATTAAAAAAATAAATTAAATTTAAAAATAAATTAGAAGTTGGAGCAATAGCATAGTGGGCAGGGCGTTTGCCTTGCGTGTGGCTAACCCGGGTTCAATTCCGCATCCCATATGGTCCCCTGAGCACTGCCAGGAGTAATTCCTGAGTGCAAAGCAAGGACTAACCCCTGAGCATCACCGCGTGTGACCCAAAAAGCAAATAATTAAATAAATAAATAATAAATCAAAAAGGGTAAAAAAGTATTTTCTTTGCATACAACACTTTATCAATTCAAAGTCTTGCTTTTTCCTCAAAAATTCTCAACCTAGACTCCACAGTTTTCAAGAATGCAAATAGAATTGATAAGCTTTAAAAAAAAATATGTAAGTCTATCTAGT